CGTGGTACCGTACATCACGATCGTTACCTTGAGCATTGTATTTGCCCGTCGCCCAAGCTAGACGTCTTGGAACTGATGCCATGCATCACATTTGTATATCCGTCTCCTGGGTTCGTGGGTCGATCATGTTGGTCTGCGATGGCGGCGGTGGCTGTCTGGCCGTTTCTCCGCTCGGTGCCACTACGGGGGCGCAGCGGACTGTCAGTCTGTCCTGCACTTTGCGTTGTCTGTTTTGCTCGCTCCTTATCAAGCGCGTGTTCCGTGCTGTTGTTCACTTCCCCTTTTCTCACCACCCACCAAACCACCCCAACCCAACCCGAAGGCCTCAATTTGCCCTCCATTTCCAGTGGGGGGGGGTCGGGGAACATTGAAAAAAACACATATGGAACCCGTACCCCCCCCAACCCGAAAGTCGAGTCTTCGGGTTGGGTTGGGGTTGTCTGGTAGGCAGTCATTTTCCTCTCGGCCGCTCCGCGTCGCCCCGCCAGTCGGCTGGTCTGGCATCCTGGCAGGTTTTTTCCCTGGCATGGCGCCAGCCCAGGGCTTTCTTTTAGAGGTCTCACCCCGGGGGCGAGGCTCTGTCAGCGCCCGCAGGGGGGAGCTCCGCGCCCCATGCACGGGGGGGGGGGGAGGGAGGGAGGGCGGTGGGCGGAGGGAGCTCGGGAGGGCGGAGGACGGAAGACGGAGGTCTGGAGGGAGGGGGCGAGGGGGAGGGCGCGATGCTTCATGAGAGCCACTGCGCTCAAGGCCTCGGGGCTTGCTCGAGCGCGGGCCGGCGAAGTTATTGTCTGTTAAATTTTGTGATAAAGGACGAGGTCGAGACGGGCCAGCCTTTGGGGATATCCCGAGCGAAGCGCTGGCTTTTGGAATTCCGATCGATCAAGCAGCGGGTGAAGTAAGCGTTTTCGTTTGTCGCGGATGTCTCGAACGAAACGCTTATCTTTCCACAAATTGTTGAGGATGTCTCCAGCGAAACGCTTGTTTTGGAGACTTCCAGGAACCTGGGCGCCCTTGGATGCCCCAGGGGGCCCTGGGAGAGCAGACGCAGGGATCGTGACCCTGGGAGCGTGGGCGCAGCTGAGTTTACCAGGGATCGATGCCCAGGTAGAGCAGACGCAGCGTAGTTTACGATGGATCGTGGCCCTGGGAGCGCGGACGCAGCGTAATTTCGAGGGATCGTGGCCCTTGGATCACGGCCGCAGTGTGGTTTACGATGGATCGGGGCAGCTACTATGTGCTCAGGCAGCTTGAGCTTTCGATCCATATCAGTTCGGTTGAGGTCTCGGATGCAAAGAGGGACTCGATCCATAACGCCATAGAGCACAATCTCGGCATGGCACATCGCAATTCAGGACGGCGCAGCACAGCACAGCCCTTGGCACTGTACGTTAACACTGATACACTCAGCATTGCATGTGCCCGTCGCCCAATCAGGTGTTTTGAAAGCGTTGCCATACCTTACGTCTCTGTATTCCTTTCCGGGTTTTGGGTCGACCTGCTTCCGCTGGCTATCGTTGCTAGCTCGATGGTTCAGTGGCAATTTGCACCAGACTGCTCGCGCTTCAGTCCACCTTGAGTCGAGCTCGCCCGGACGTGCTTCACGTTTTCCTTGCCGCTTCACGCTCGCTGGGTTCTTGTCTTTCCCACGCCCCATCCCAGCATGTCACTTATTGGCATTTCTTTCACTGCATCTTCGATTATGCTTGATCGCAGATAGCACATACGTGTTTTGCTCGCGCCAGAGGACCCTCTGCGCCGCTGGCTTTGATGTGGGCGTTGGTGGTTCTGCGGCAATAAAAACCAGACTGCGCGTGCTTCAGTCCACTTTGAGTCGAGGTCGCCCGGATGTGCTCCACGTTTTCCTGCCCGCTTCACGCTCGCTGGGTTCTTGCTTTTCCCACGCCCCATCCCAGAATGTCGGTTATTGGCATCTCTTTCACTGCGTCTTCGACTATGCTCGATCGCAATTGGCACTCACATATTTTGCCCGCGCCAGAGGACCCTCTGCGCTGCTGGCTTTGACGTGGGCGTGGGTGGTTCTGTGGCGAAAAGCACCAGACTGCTCGCGCTTCAGTTCACCTTGAGTCGAGCTCGCTCGGGCGTGCTCCTTAGTTTACTGGCCGCCGGGTTGCATTCGTTCCCGCCCACCACCCATCCCTGAACGTCAGCGATTGACGTTTCTTTCGCTGCGTTTTCGACTCTGCTCAATCGCAATTTGCACTTCCATCTGCTACCCGCGCCTGAGGACCCACTGCGCCGCTGACTTGCGTGCGTGCGTGCGTGCGTTTGCCTGTGGGTGTTTGCGTGGCCGCGTCTTTGCTTGGCGGACGTGTTTTTGAGCATGTGTGTTGTTGTGTGCGGGCGTGCGCGAAGCTGCATGGCAATTCAGGGGTTGGACGCCGCGATTCTGACGCCGTCTTAGTTCTCCAAGAGTGGTTGTCAGGGTTTCCATGAAATGCTGCTGGAAGGTGCCACGAACGGGGAGGCCCTGCCTGCGGGCTGTGGCCGTCTAGGTCTGCGAGCGAACCTGCGCAGCCTTGCTTGGGAGCTGCTTAGGTGCTGCCCATTTGCTTAGGAGACGCCGGCTAGGAGCTGCCCTGGGGCTGCGCGCGATCCTTGGAAGCGCTGTCTAGGAGCACTACAAACCCCCCTTGCCGCGTGCGTATTGGGAACGAATTGGGGAGCGCTTCCCAGGCCAGCTTCGGGTTCAAGCAAGGCTCGGCAAGGTTGCTTGACTGGCAGCCGTGTGGGTATCTGGTCTAGCCCTGCCTGCTGACGTTTTACTCTGAGATTGCCCTTGGGAGAGCGAAGGAGGTTTCAAACAAGAAGCCAGCAGGCAGGTCTAGGCAAGCTTCTTCTCCACTGCTGCCGTTCAGGATTGCTGCGGGTCTAGTTTTTTTTTTTTTTTTTGTGTGTGTGTGTGTGTGTGTGTGTGTGTGTGTGTGTGTGGGGCGATTTTTGATTGTTTTTTTCTCCCTTCCCCCCCCCTCAACTCGTTCCCAATGCGCGTGCCGTTGCCCTTTGCGAAACTCTTCTCAGGCTCGTGGAGAGCTCCAAGGCAACTCTCAGGCAGCTCTTCCTATACTCGTGGAGAGCTCCAAGGCAACTCTTAGGCAGCTCTTCCTATACTCGTGGGGAGGTCCTAGGCAGGTCTGCGAGCTTTCGTGGGTCGCCCGGGCAGCGCTCCCTCGGGGCGTCCCGAGCATCGTTGCAAACGCTTTTGCGAGCCTTTCCGCTTGCAGGCATCCTGTGTATGCTTTGAAGGGCCCTTTCTCGAGCGTCTCAAAGGCTCCCCGCCCGCGCGCGGGCCAGCGCGCACATGCGCGGCCGCCTTCGCGATCGCGCCCGTGCGCCCGCGTGCGTCCTCCGGCCTGCGTCGCCGCGCGTGTTGCGCTCCCGCGCGGCCGCCCGCGCGCGCGCGAGCGCTTGCTCGTGCTCGCGTGCGTGTGTCCGAGCGTCTGCGCGTGCAATGGCGCAGCCTGGCGCAAACCTGTTCTGCTATTCGCGCTTTGGGTCGCACGCGTATCCATGGCGCTTCGAGAGCTAAGAGGGTTTCAGAGTTCCGTAAAGCAGCTTCGCTGCGACTTGATTGAGCCTGTTGCTTGCTCTCGGATATACTAGAGCTGTTTAGGGCTTTGGAACAGAAGCTGGCAGGCATGGTTAGGCGAGCTCCTCTCCACGGCTGCCAGACAGGCATCCTCGCAGCGCCTTACGCGTTTTCCTACTCGTTCGCAATGCGTCTGTCTCGGGGCTTTGCGCAGCTCTCTCGCAGTGCTTCCTAGCTCGTGCGCAGCTTTCTGACAGCTTTTTGGCAGCGCTTCCTGGGCTCGTGGGTAGCACCTGGCAGCTCCGCAAGCCTGCGAGGGCGCGCGTCAGCCATTGCAGGCGTCCCTTGCAAGCTTCCTGGCCATCCCTGTAACTCTGTTGTAAGCGTGCCCCCCCAGCTCGCATCCCAAGCTTGCATGGTGCCGAGGCATGCTTTCAAGGTCAGACAAGGCGTCTGTTGTGCGGCCTGAGGTTGAGGTGCGCGGCCCGGGGGCCAAAGCCCCTGGTGGGCATTGCCTGGGAAGCGGGATCCCAGGCGCGCGGCCCCTGTATGAGGAGCCAGGGCTGGGAAAACAGTGAATTGAATATCTTAGCGAAGGGCCCAACCCCTGGCAGTTGCGAGTGCCGTCGTTGTGAGTATCGCCTTCGGTGGATCTCCTTGGGTGGCCTCGCGCGAGTGCCCTGGAAATGGCAGGCGTCGTCGGCCGCGGGTTGGTTCAGGGAGTAAGACGTGAAGGTGCAGCCACTTCTGGAGGCAACGCAGCGCTGCAGCTGTTGTCGCTGTGGTGGGGGGGCCCGGGTATCCGGAGCTCAGCCCCGACCTCGCCGGGGGGCGCCGGGCCCGAAGAGGAAGATGGGCCCAGGGCCAGCACCGCCCCCGTGAGGCAACGCGGGATCCCGCGCCGCCCCAGATATGTGGCCGGTCCGATGTGGCAGTGCGACAGCAGCGTCCGCAGGTCAACCACGCGAGCGGCCCAACAAATGACGAATGGGCAAAAGATCGAGAGGCAGGGGGTTAGCTGGACGGGGCAGGACGAAAGAGGGGGTCTCGAGCTCACGGGCGAAGGGGGGGGCGGATGCTGCGCAGCCGCGCCCTCCCGGGTCAGAAGGGGGTTCCCCCCCTCCCAGTCCCTCCCACCTGTTCCTACCCGCTGGGGGATCCCCCTGGGTTCCCTCCCTGCCTCCTCCTTCTTCTTCTCCCTCTCCTCCTCTTCCTCCTCTTCTTTCCCCTCCTCCTTCTCCTCCTCCTCCTTCTTCTCTTCCTCCTCCCCCTCCCCTCCCGCCCCCTCGTCCTCCTCTTCCTCATCGCCCTCCTCCCCCTTCCGTTCTTCACACCTCTCGCTTCCCCTTCCTCCCCTTTTGCCTCCCGCTCATCCCCTGGCCGCCTCTGCCGACGATGCCCCCGCGCGGCGCGGCCCAGCGCCGCGCGCCGCTTGTCCCCCCGCTGCCGCGAGCGCGCTCAGACCTGGCCTGGCCTCCGCGTGCCGAATGCGGAGGGAAAGAACGGGCTTTACGCACCCCGCCCTGCTCTCCTCTAGCCTCTTCCTTTTCCTCCTCCCCCCCTCCCCCTCCTCCAGGGTTCGGCCTTTCGATTCGGTCGGTCCGATCAAGTGTCGATTGTGGCTGGTCCGATCCGATATACCGACGATCCCATACGTCCCGATGCTCGCATGGCGCTGCTGTGCATCCAGGCACGGCCGATTCGATTCGATTTCGTCTCCCGTACCTCCGAACGTTTGATGTTTGCGCTGTTTTTGGGTTGCTCTCCCACAGGAGGAGGAGGAGGAGGAGGAGGAGGAGGAGGAGGAGGAGGAGGAGGAGGAAGAGGAGGAGGAGGAGGCGGTCGATTCCCTCCTCGCTCCTTGCCAGGCGCGGCTAGGGCGGGCGGACCCGTTCTGCCCTCCGCCGACAGAACCCGCGCCGCCGTCATGTCGTTCTCTTTGGCTGCCCACCCCGTGGGCATCAAGGCGCCGCTCCTCGCCGGCCTTCGCGCCGCTCCTGTCAGCTTTTCCTCCTCCTCCTCCTCCTCCTCCTTCCTCCTCCCCCTCCTCCTCCTCCTCCTCCTCCTCCTCCTCCCCCTCCTCCTCCTCCTCCTCCTCCTCCTCTCCTCCTCCTCCTCCTCTCCTCCTCTCCCCCTCCATCTCCTCCTCCTCCTCCTCCTCCTCCTCCTGCTCCTCCCTCTCCTCCTCCTCCTCCTCCTCCTCTCCTCCTCCGCCTCCTCCCTCTCCTCCTCCTCCTGCTCCTCCTCCTCCTCCTCCTCCTCCCAGCTTCTTCTTACGGAGGTTTGGCAGCGCAGGCTAAAGCACAGCTGCTGCTCGAGATTTCTTTGTCTAGCGGTTTTGTCAGTTCAGGGAGTACGCCTCGCTCGCTGTGTGGGAAAGTATGCCTGCATGTATTCAGTCTCACAGTGAGGAAGCGGCCTGTGATGTGCATTTAGGAACGCAACGATGATCTGGAGCACACGATACAGCAGACGTTTTTTTCGGGTGTCCCTTGCCTGCAGTCCTATATGATGGGCTTTGGACCTATCATGGAGTGGTAGGAGTGTCGCCCTGTAGCGAAGCAACCGTTTATGTGATCCAAGAGTGTCGAACCGCTCACTGGCCTTGGCAAGCTAAGTGACTTTCTTCATTGGCGCAGCCCGTGCCGTTGGTTCGAGTCACGGGGAGCACAATGCTTGGCAAACCCTACTCTGCGTAACCCTTACAGTGTTGCCACGTTTCGCTTTGTATTTCATCCATCTCCCCAATCGTCGTCTTCTTCCCCATCCTTTTTCGGTCCTGCTGGCTCCCAGGGCTATGCACGAATAGGGGTGGGAGCGGCGGGTTCAGAGTGTGGGCTTGGGAGACGGTCCTCCTCCTCCATTGCTTCCTCCATCCTCCCCTTCCCCCAAGCTACGGTGGTCTGCGCAACCCTTGAAACAGCCCTTCCATCCTCCAATCTCCCCCTTTCCCCCCCAATCCGTATCCCAATGCCTGAGGCAAGTCCCGCCACCATGCTAGCATAGCACTTTGGGCTGCTACTGTTCGGGTGGCGCGCAGGAGACCGTAATGTGTGATACCTCGTGTCCCGCGGCTTGGGAGAGCCGTGCCATGTGACACCTTCTTCCGCGTCGTGTCGGGGGCCCTCTTATCGTCTTCGTCCTCGGCCTCCTTCTCTTTGATCCTTTCTTGGGCTCCGGGGGATCAGTTCTGGGGGTCCTTGAAGGTATCGTTGGCAGTCTTGGGGCTCTCTTGGGCTGTGATTGGGCCCTCTTGGCCGTCTGTGCGGTCTCTCGCTGCCGTCGTGGTGCCGTCTTGGGGCTGTCTTGGACCTTCGAGGTCTTCTTTCTTGCTGTTTTGATCCCTCGGGAAGCCCTCTCTGGGCTCTCGGGGCTGTCCTGGGCCGTCGAGGGCCCTCTAGGGCTGTCGTGTCGAAGTCTTGGAAGATTGCTTGACCATTTTGCGGCTCTCTTGGGCCGTCTTGGGGCCATCTTGAAGACCTCTAAGGCCGTCTGGAGCTGCAGGAAGCCCAACAAGGTGAAGACACCAAGATCGTCTAAATCGCCTCAGAAACACATCTGATTTTCGTCTTGGGGGCTTTTCGGGCCTTCTTGGGGCCATCTTTGGCAGGCCATCTTAGGCCGTCTTGGCGGCATCTTTGGATCACTTTGGCGGCCTGGATTGCCTGTTTCGGCCACCCCCTGGACCAGCCCTGCCACCCTCCCAACTCCTCACTTTCCCCCGATCTGTATTCTTTCCAGGGGTGGACCTAAACGGTGTTTTGGCGATTTCGTGGCCCGTTTTCGTTTCGATGTAGTTTTACGGCAAAGGCGGATGTAAGACAAACCGCGGGAAGACGAACAGAAACGAGACCGAACGACTCTGTTTAGGTCGAGGCCTGATTCTTTCCTTGCCGCTTCCCCCTGCCTCCCCAACTTCCCCTTCGTCCCCGCCGCCGCTCTTGCTGCTCGAGGGTGGTGCTCTCTCTCTTAGCGCCGCCGCCCGAGTTCTATACCTCGATCTGGCGCGACTGCAAGGAGCTGCGCTGGCCTCTGGCCTTTCGCTCCTCGCGGGGCGTCTTCGGGGGGAGTCGCCAGGGCCTGGGAAGGGTTCAGGAAGCAGGGGGATGAGTCGGGGGAACACGATGAGGATGAGGACGGCCTGGATGTGGAAGGGTGGACGGGAGAGCCCAGGGGGGATGAGGCACGCGAGAAGGACACCAAGTAGGAGAAATGTGCAGGAGGAGGATATGGATAGTGGAGGATGGGGGTGGAGCCAGGGAATGACGATGAGGTGTCGAAGAGTCGAAGTAATACGAAGACTTGAAATTTGAGTAGAGGGGTAAGTAGGTGGAGAGGGGGGAATACGGGGATTGAGGATGAGGGTGTAGGAGGAGCAGGGGGAGGTGGAATGGCAGACAGATGCGGCATATACGGATTCGGTGTCGAAGGATGATGGCGAGGAGGAGTAGGAGGAGGAGGATGAGGAGGAAGATACTAGTGATGTCGAAGCATGAGGTGGATATAGTGGGTGGGGGGAAGTATGAGTCATGTGTGTGTATGTATTCAGATATGGGGGGATAGCTAGGTGTACGGCGAAAGGGAATCTGAGGTTGGGGAGGGGGATGATCAGATGGAATGTTATGGTGAGGAGGATGAGGATGATGAGGATGAGTAGGAGAAGGAGGGGGATATGGAGGGGGAGTGAGGAGGAGGGAGAGGTGCGGGAGATGAATGGGGATGCGGAGGAGTCCTCGGTGTCGGAGGAGGAGGAGGAAGGGTATGACATGGAGGGGGGACCGGAAGGTGCAGGATGTGCAACAGTGGACGGTAGGGGTTTACGTAGGTAAGGAGGGATGGAAGAGGAGGAGGAGGACGACACTGATGCTCTGTGAGAAAGGGGAGGGCGGAGGCGGAGAGGAGAGAGGAGGAGGAGGAGGAGGAGGACGATAACGAGGAGGAGGAGGAGGAACAGACAAAGATATTTTTTTCATCAGCGGCGAGGCGGCGAACTCCGCTCCAGCGAGAAGGAACAGATAGACACGGAGACGGAACTTAATGTGGGGATGGAGGCGGAGGGGGGATGATGATAATGATGATGATGATGATGATGCTGCTGATGATGATGATGATGATGCTGATGCTGATGCTGATGCTGATGCTGATGCTCATGATGCTGATGCTGATGCTGATGATGATGATTGATTATGCTGCTGCTGATGATGCTGATGATGCTGATGATGATGATTATGATGATGATGCAGATGCTGATGCTGATGCTGCTGCTGATGATGATGATGATGCTGATGATGATGATGATGATGATGATGATGATGATGATGATGATGATGATGATGATGATAATGATGATGATGATGATGATAATGATGATAACCAGGATCCGAGATGGGGTGCGCATCTTCCTCGAGCGGGCACGCGCGAAACGAGTTGTTCCACCCCCACAAAAGATGGCGTGGCCTCGTTGTTGATCACAAATCGTTTCACCGCCACACCTCAAGTATGACCCGAGGGTAAAGCCCTGAGAGCACTCTCAAATCAGCTCGTAGTCCACGATGACACCACCAACGTGTCCATCAAAACCAACGAGACCCCCTGCAACACTCAGATTCGAGCCACCCCTGCGACCGCTTTGTAAAGGGAAGAAGGGCAGGAAACTGATCAGAACCCATGAATCCCAAAACAGCCATAAAAGGCGCCGATCAGAAAGTTTACATTGACATGCTGCTGGTTTTCACAGTTCAGCTTAGCAGTCTCATTTGAGTTACGGATATGCACTACAAATGTCGACAACTGAGGAAACAAAAAGGAGCCGTAACGACTTCGCTGAGGACGGCCCCTGCGATGGGACCACGCATAACACCCCATTATCGCTGTGTTGGATTGTATGGTCACATCGTAGTACCGCCCAGCGGGCCCAAACCAGTGAGATTGCACGCCTGTTCGTACATCTCACATGCGTGCTAAGATCAGCTTCGAATCGTGCAAGCACGATCTTACGTCGGCCAGCCTACGGCTGGAAACTTTTGCTTAGCGTGTCGCGGAGCTGGAACCCGCGACATGCTACACCTTGCAAGATGATAGCGTGTCCCTCCGCGCCGCGGGGCGAGGGGCTGGGAGCGGTTTGGGACGTTGACGCATGGGGACTGAGACGTGGAAGCTATGTCGCGCCAAAGCGTGGTGGCCCAAAACCGGTGGAGCGAAACGCTAAGCCAAAGTCTCTCACCGTAGATTTGAAGCACCTTGGTGAAAGTGGCGGCATGGAAAGGCACATCGAAGCCAAGGGCAAGTCTGGTAAAGAGCGTGAGAGGACAAACATGGGGGAGAGGTTGCGGGGGTAATCCTCAGAGAGGATGCAATGCCATTGCATCGCCGACACATCGTCAAGACATGCTCGGCAGACAAGCCCACGCAAAACTAACTGCTGGCTGCTGACTTCGTGATGGTTCGGCCCCCCAACGGTTGGCAGTGTGCCCATCTACTCCTCCAACTCCTCTTACACTTCCTCCGCCCCCTTATCCTCCTGCTCACCATTACCCTCCCCTCCTCATCATCCGCATCTTCCTTCGCCTCCTCCTCTCCTCCTCGTTCAGCTGCTGCCTGCCCATATTCATCACCTATTGTCCTACCCCTTTTCTGTCCTCTTTCCTTATTATCATGTTACCTAACATTGTCCTGGCACTTACACTTGCCAATCCATCTCCTCCCCCTCATAAATACTCCACCAGCGAGGTCCGCAGACACCCGTCATCCCATGTGAAGAGAAGAGGGTGCGGAGCGTGTTGTGCAGAGTCCGCGATCAAAAAACACACTAGGGTTGGAGGCTTTGGAATCTCTCACAACATACAACAAATCGTAAACTGTTTGCGTGCCCGCTCGAGGATGGCGCGCCCTGCGCGCCGAACCCCCGAGGCTGTCGCGAGCGAAACGCCTATTCGGCATGACTTCAAGGGCCTGGGCGCCCCAGGATGGCCAGCTGCTTCTTGGAGAGCGGCATCACCGTTGTTTACCAGGGATCGTGGACATGGGATCGCGGACGCATCATAATTTACATGGGATCCTGGCCCTGAGGGCGCCGTCACACTGCAATTTGCGAGGGATCGTGGCCCTGGGGGATCGCTGCCCTGGCAGCGCGGACACCGCGTAAGTTACAATGCATCGTGGTCTTTGGAGCGTGAATCTCATGTCATTTTCGAGGGATCGTGGCCCTGGGAGCGCAGACGCAGCGTAATGTACGAGGGATAGTGGCCCTAGGAACGTGACTCCTCTGTAATTTCCTATGGGATCTGGTCTTGCGAGCGCGGACGCAGTGTAGTTTACGAGGGGCTGTTGCCCTGAGAGAGCAGACGCAAAGTAATGTATTAGGGATCGCGGCCCTGGGAGGGCAGATGCAGCGTAATTTGCGATGGATCGTGGCCCTGGGAGCGCGGACGCAACGCAATTTATGAGGAATCCTTGCCCTGGGGGGGGGGGTGCGGCCACAGCGTAATTTGTTTGGGATCCTGCCCCTGGGGGCGCGGACACAGCGTGTAATGGAATCGTGGCCCTGGGAGCGCGGACGCAGCGTAGCGTGGGAGGGATCCTGGCCCCGGGGAGGCGGACACAATACAATGCACGATGAATCCTGGCCCTGGGGGGGCGGCCATAGCGTAATTTACGAGAGGATCTTGGTCCAGGGGGCGCGGACACAGTGTAACTGACGAGGGATCGTGGCCCTGGGAGCGTGAACCCTGTGTGATTTGCAAGGGTCGTGGCTCCTTTCTGATTCCGCGGGGTCTGGGGGGGTGAGGTGGAGGCAAACCTAGAAAAGTAGGCCTGCCTGGGAGCGCTGCCTCGTCGTGAGGAGTTTGTTTCTGGATCCGTCGCGTGTGGCTCCTTTCTGGGTCCGCGGGGTCTGGGGGAGCGAGGGGGGTGGGGGTCTGTCATCTCCCGCCCCCCCGGTCTTGTCTACCTTCTACCTTCGGCATACCTTGAGCGTACCTTCGCTGATTTGGACACGCGTACCTGCATCGCACCTCCGCCATACCTTCAATCACGTTTCTCATATAACAAGACAGAGTCGCGTACCTTCCGCGTGCCTCCGGCGTACCGTGAACGAGTGTGTCCGACGTATCTTCAGAGTGCCTTCGGCATGCCTTCGGCATACTTCGGCATACCTGCGGCATACTTTCGGCATACCTTCGGCACACCTTCGGCACACCTGCGTACTTTACCAGGGGTCGAGCGTGTCTTGCGACGCATCGGGGCCAACCGCCAGTATTCGCCCTTCGTTGCGCGCATGTCGCTCCCCATGTATATCAGGAGGGAAAGAACCACACAGACACAATTAATCGTCGACTCCCAGGAAAATATGGGGAAATATGCGAAGTGGGGGGGAAGACAAAAACCCAGAAAATATGAGACAATTTGGGGAATCTTTTTATTTGTGTGTATTTATTTGTGTGTCCTGGGGCCCCTTCAGTATACTCCAAAGCCTCGGCTCCCACCCTCTTCGCTTATGAATCTTCGCCCGTGGGGGGGAGGGCTACTCTTGTCCTGGCAGGATATGGCAAGCGGGTCGGGCGGACGGACAGGAACGGGCGAGTCGGGCGACCAGGGGATTAGAGAAGGCGCCGTGCATGTCAGCGTTGCATGGGCAGGAAAACTGGCGCCGGCGTGACGGCAGCCGAATACCGTTCGAACGCCCCATCGTCGCCATTTCTGTGGACAGAGCGAGTCTGAAAACTTGTACATGCACTTCCCCCTGGCCATGAGGCCCCCCAAGGTGGATGACCTGGGAGAGCAACGGCAGCAGGAGGCAGAGGAGGGAACGACGCCCGGGGAGCAGGCTAAGCCCAGAGCCGGGGAGGAGAGCTAGCGACGGGGGACGACAGCCAGGAGGAGGGGCGGGGGCGACAGACCGGGCGACGGCCCCGGGGGCGAGCAGGAGGGGGCAGCAGGCAGAGGAGCGGCGCAGGACGGCGGAGGAGGGGGCGACGACACCACCTGGAGGCCAGGCGGGCGGGGGAGCTGAGGCGGCGTTCCGCCTTTGATGATGGCTCATCCCCTCAGCCGCGCGACCGAAAATCACGACTCGAAAAGAAACCGCCTGGCAGCCACTTGCCACGTGCCCGGCGGGCCTTGTAACGTTCCGTGCAGCGCGTTGTTGTTTTCGGGTGCAGTAGACGGCTAACTCGTGGACTTTTCGTTTCCACGTGTTTCTTGGCCGTCCCCTTGAACGGGGCCGTCTATCCTCGAAAAAAGCGCAGGACTGCGGATTAAAGGCGCACAGCCGAACGGGGTTGTGGTTCGGGAGAGCTGCGATCTGGCCCAACATGCGCACCTGCCTGTGCGCAAGCGTGGCGCTGAGTTTGCAGCGTGCGCAGGTCTGCAAAACGGTTGCGTCACAGACGCGGCTGTAACAAGAGTGGCCGGGGCCGGCCAATCTGCCCAGACACTGCGCTTGAAAAGCGTCAAACTTTCTGCTGTTAGGCACGTTGAGCCGCAGCGTATGGACACAGTGCATTAATTTAGCGACGATGCGGGCTTCAAATATGGCAGCCTTTTTCTGCAGAGGCAAACGAGCGTGTTTTCAAATTTGGCAGAATGCGTACACATCTTTCTTCTAAGCCATGCCGATCCTCTTACTCAGTTCTGCACTGTTGGAACCCGAAGAATCCAAAGGCCTCCGAAGTACACCATGCTGTCTTTCTCCAGGATATGCGCGCCATTGAGCCTGCGAATTTTTGCTTCACAGCGTACAGGCAGAGCTCCCGACTTGTCCAAATTGAACGAACGACCATAGTTTTTGTCCTTCTCTTGGATGACCTGCATCAGGGCGCCGACAAAGTCGGCGGTCGTCCCGAACAGCACAATGTCGCCCGCGTAGATGAATTCGCCGACTGGGAAGCCGTCTGTCGCTTGGAAACCATTGTTCCAGAATCTGCTTGTCGTGACGATCGAGAAGAAGAATGGCGTCAGCGGGCTTCCCTGAGAGATCCCGAACTCTTGCGGATGCTGTTCCGACACCTTTCTGGCGTCTTGGACCTGGAAGGAACTATACGTGTAGATACGAAGCTGGGCATGCCTAAGCGCGAGAGCGCTTGCACTAGGGCGTCAGGCGAGACGCTGTCGAATGCTTTCGCCCAGTCCAAGGCTAGGACACTTTCCCGATTGCGCATCCCAGATGTCTTCGATCATTCTCTTCGCCACGAACAAAGAAAGCATCGGACGTCCCGCAGCCTGATCGAAGTCCAAACTGGGTCTTCCAGATCGTAGACTCCGCGCCCGCGCCTTTCAGTCAGTTGACCAGAACAAATGTGTGAAAATTGTAGCCAACGAACAACCATGAAACAGCGCGGTAGTCTGCGCATTGCGCCGCGTCCCCCTCTTCGAAGATGGCTGTGACGACGGTCTGGTGCCACGCGTCTGGCGCCGATTTCTCCTACCAGCATCGGCGCGCAACGTGGTTCCCCATTCGCACTCATGCGTGCCCTCCCCACACAACGCTTTCCAGAATACGGCGGGCACGCCGCCTTGTCCGGCAGCGCGATTGCGCTTCAGCCCGCGGGCGGTTCGGCACACCTCCGCCTGAGTGATGGGGTCGTTGAAAGTGTCGAGCTCCGGCCTCGAAGGGTCCAAGTGATTGTCGGACGCGCTGCCAACTGCACTTTGGAGAAATATTCCGCCAACGTCTCTGCTCTCTGGTCGTTGTCTATGAGGCGGCCATTGGAATTCTTCATTCTCCCATGCGCTGCGGCTGGATCTGTCTTAATTTTTCCCCCTCCACCTCGACTGTAAGGGCGTGTTCCCCCCCCCACGTTCACAATGTAGGGCGACTCCCCGTTGAAGAACGTATTGTATGGAACTTCCCACTCCTCTTCGAGGGCCCGTTTGAAGCCCAGGCAGAAGTTGAAGGCCGCGCGGACTGCTGAGGAACGGTCCTGGTTCGCCCAAACCTTCCTGTCCCCACTCTCCAGGCCAGCACGTCGCAATATATAGATCTACTGCGTGATCTCAAAGGGTTGGGCTCCAGAACTCTGCAGATATAGTGCCTTCAAACTCTCCTTTGCAATCTGTCTTTTCGGGACCCGTCCCACCTATAACGGAGAGTTTATCCTTTAAGCATTCTGTAGATTTCCCGAACTCTTCCAAAGCACAAGTTTTCAAGCACCATGGTCACAGCACGCTTTTCGAAGGTACCCGAATGAGGCTTGACGATGTTCCCCCCTGCCTCCCCTCGTTCGTCATGTACTCGTGGATGCACGCGCCCCTCCATGGAGTCCAAAGCCAGAAGCGCGGTCTGCTCCATCGTTCAGGTTGAGGCGCTCCTCCATGTTGGCCAAGCGTGCGCTCAGCGCCTCTTTTATCGCAGCGCACTCGCTACGGAGTCGGGCAATGACCGAGGTGACTGGCGCGACTTGCTGCTGAAGGAGGGCCGCCATGGCAGCCATCGTCACTGGCTCCTGAGCGGAGAT